TTTTTGTGTACCAGGGAAGCTAAATGTCAAAGAGGAGGAGTTGGATGAAATGTTGAATGAAGGGAAGGGTCCCATCAACTTTACTGTATTTCTGACACTTTTTGGGGAGAAACTCAGTGGTGAGAGATTTACAGATGTTCAAAGAAATCTTTGAAATTCCTGTCAGGTGCTTTCAGGTGATGGATGATGATATTTGATCTTCCTCCAGGTACTGATCCTGAAGACACCATACTAGCAGCCTTCAAACTTTTTGACCCCAATGGAACAGGCTTTGTTAATAAGGATGAGTAAGACAGCAATTAGCTTTTGCAGTGTTGCAAATGGGCTATAATGGTATAATATTTTATATTGCTCTCCTTTAATTTTTGTTTTTGATTATTTTTCAGATTTAGACGACTACTGATGAATCAGGCTGATAAATTCACACCAGAGGAGGTTTGTGTTTTGTTTTTGACAGATTCTCATATAATTTTAAAGATATTTTACAATAGACAAACTTTCTCTTTATAAACCTACAGGTGGATCAGGCCTTCGCTCTCGCTCCCATAGATCCAACTGGAAACATTGACTACAAGTCTCTCTGCTACATCATCACACATGGAGATGAGAAGGAAGAATCATGAACGGGACAGTTGTGTGAAGGCATGTCGTAAAGTCCAATTAAACCCATTTTACCTTGGCTGTTAATAATTTGACCTGTCTGCAGTGCAGTGCTGTCCTTGAGTTAGTGAAAGTAATAAGCCCTATGCCCAGTACATGTGAACTTAACTGAAATCTAAGCCCAATGAGATATGGGATAATCAATATCAATCAAAAAGGAATAATCAAGCATGATTTTAAGATGGGGAATCCTTTTCTGACACATGGTCACAGGACCGCATGGTATGAGAAGAAGGTAAGAATTTTTGCTCTAGAAATCATTTTTAAAATGGCATAAATTGTAAATGACAGATACGTGTATGTGCTTTATAGAGGAGTTTTGTCAAGTTTCATGAAGTTTTTTGTACATTGAATGTTCAGGAACTCAGTTTTTCTTTTCGTTTCTTCGAGGCAACGTTGTGAAATAACATGTTCTTCTGGAGGGAAACTTTGCTAACATTGTGTTGGAATGTAATCATATGTTACTTCATGTATTTGTGCACATATTTGTGCACATTTTACATGTTGCTGATGTGATGCCTCTTGCACATTGGGATGCCATCAAAATAAGTCTCCCTTTCAGAGACAGTTGCCAGGCCACAAGAGATATGGGTGACTGTGATAAGACAAGATTCAGCCTCTTCTGAATCACATGAAGCTGAAATGGCTTCCTATGCATTACACATTGTGTGTGGATAAGCAAATGATGCCATTTAAGGGCAGTAAATTAAAGCAGTACCTACCCAGTGCAAAATGCTGTTTCAAAGTATTAGTCTTTGCTGGATTTATTTTCTTTTATTTATAAAGTCCCAAATCACAACAATATGTGGCATAGATGCCATTCCACGCATATTTGAAGATTACATTGAAAAAGCTGTCCAACTGCCTGGGATTCCAGGTGTAGGGAAATGTGGTCTCAAATCCCAATTTGCACAAAGTTTGTGCAAATCCAAAGATGAAAGCAAGAAGAGAACAAACCAGCGGTGGGATATCTCAAAAGTGTTATGGGAAGAGGAAGAAGCAGGAACCCACGGCTCTCAATCCAAATCAGCATGTCCACCTGGACATTGCATCACTCTGGCCAATATGTGACAACCCCCTCATCACCAACTGGTCACATAGATAACTACACCACCCTGAGATTGGTTCTGCTGGAGGTTTCTTGATATTAAAAGGGAGTTTTTCCTTCCCGCTGTTGCCAAATTCTTGCTCTTTGGGGGTCATGCAATTGTTGGAGTTTCTTATATTGTAGGGTCTTTACTTTAAAACATAAAGCATCTGAGCTTAGTGCTGTTGTAATTTTTGGCGATATATAAATAAAATTGAATTGAACAAAGGAAGATGCAGGGTGCCTGGGTTCAAAAGTGATTTGTATGATGTAAACCTCTATTTGACACCACAGAAGAACTGTTTCACACAGAGTGACAGCAATATCTGACAACATGAGAATCAATATGACAAGACACTGGACA